CGGCACGACGGCGCGTAGCGTCGCCAGTGATCTCAACGAGTGAGCACCCGCTGATATATATACCCACACTATAATAACGACTATACTCTTGCCCTCTCCAGTATGCAACGAACTAGCTTGGCTCTCTCATCGTTCAGCACAATTGCCAATCTTTTCTAGTACATAGTAGTTGCTATAGACTTGTGCTTGGTACAGAATGGAACAGGTTGTCTCAAGAACCGCTTGAACGTGATCTTTGAAACGGTCAGATGGGTGCGATCCCTCAAGAGCGGCTGTCCGAGTCGACGTGCCGGAAGCGGCTCCGCGAGCTTGTCAAGGAGACACTGCATGACCTTCCCGAGGCACCGTCGTCGATTGAGACCCTTGATCTCTCGGATTGCCACCTCACGGATCACTACGCCGGTCACATCCACGCTGTCATCGAGCTCAACGCCAAGGTGCTCCAGTCGATCGACCTCTCGTTCAATGGCTTTGCCAGCGGCCTCGTCGAGGTTTTTGATAACTACCCAGAGCTGCCGTCGCTGACGAAACTCAATCTCTCGAGCAACGCGTACGAGTTTTGTATTTCAGACCATGTTTCGCAATTGAGAAGCTTCGTAGCATCAATGACACGGCCGCTGACCATGTGAGTAAGCTCGTGCTGCGCTGCCCCAAGCTCGCGTCTATCGATCTCTCACTCAACCGACTCGGGAAGGGCTGTGCACGCGCACTTGTCCAAGCCAAGCTGCTCGTCTCGCTCGACCTCTCTTCGAGCCACTTGTCGGACGCAGGCTGCGACGTTCTCTGCCAAAGCCTCCTCGTGCGCAAGTCGAGCCTCCAGATTCTCTCACTCGCCATGAACCAGCTCACCGACAGCAGCGCGCTCGCGTTGGCCAACGTGCTCGTCAACGATGCGACGTGTGCGCTTCGGACGCTGATTCTATCGGGCAATCTCATCCAAGACCACGGCGCCAGTGCAATCGCCTTCTCGATGGACCGCAATGCGTGCATTCAAGAACTATTCCTTGACGCCAATCAGGTCTCCATTGTCATGTGTTCCACACTTTTTCACCCTTTATTTTCGAATTTTGGCCAATACAAAGCAAAGGCAAACTCGTTTATGGACTAGATTGGCAACGACGGCCTAACATCCTTTCTCAACATTCTTCGATCGAGCCCGACGCGGACGTATGCAGCGCTGTGCCTCGATGGCAACCCCGCCGACGCGGCCCTCTTGCGCGACGTGGACCACCAGCGCCAAGCCAGCGTACTATGTCGATCAGTCGCCCGTGAGTGTTTGTGAGAGCGCAGGATAGATGCTACTATCGCAGCTCCCGAAGGACCTCGGCGTGCGCGACCGCCTCGAGCTCAGCGGCCCCATCGTCTCGACGTATCTTGGCTCGGACATCTGTGACCACATGTGCCAGGTATACACATACATAACTTGCCTTCTCTGCAGCTGATTTTACACTCTTGGCGATGCATTCCGAAGGCCTGCGTGGACATTCTGCGCAGCTACCGGCATCTGGTGCACGTCGACTTGAGTAGAAATGCGATTGGCAATCACGGTAACACATATATAACGAGGACTATGAAAAACGCTGACGCGCCGTCGTAGGCGCATACGACATTGCTCTGTACGTGGCAATGAACCCAAAACTCACGACACTCAACCTTGGTTTCAACAAGATCGAAGGTACAGCGATATATATTGGACGTAAATACACACAACAACATTAGATGCGGGCGCGGTCGGACTCGCGCAAGCGCTGCTCGTTAATAGCACGCTGACGAGTCTCCAGATCGAGTCCAACCTGCTCGGGGACGCTGGTGTGCGAAGCCTTTACGTGGCTTCGTTTGACAATAAGCGCAGTGCGTTGACCTCGATTTGCGTCGACGCCAACATGGTACGCCGTTGCTTGTCGAAATAGAGTCCTTGTCATGACAGTGCGTACTAGCACGGTATTGAGGGCAACCGGACGATCACGGCGATTGCCGACGCCAAGAAGATCGCGCTTTCATTGGCCGAAGCGACGCCACTCGTGCTCGATCTCTCGTACGACCTGATCGGCTACTATCAAGGTATTAATGTATCAAAACGTAGTGGCCACTATCTGCAGCGGTTTGGCGCCAACGTGGTGTGTGATACCCTTCGCAGTCACTGCCAAGTGCTCAACTTGTGCCGAAACGCGCTCGGCGACGACGGCGCCGCCGCAATCGCGACGCTCCTCCTTCGGCAAACGGCGCTCACCAAGGTTGATTTAAGCTGCAATGGCATTGGCGACAAGGGCGCGTTGGCGCTGGCCGAGGCACTTCCAAAAACAAGACGCTCGTCGCACTCAATTTACGCGCGGCGTACGGTGACGCGGCGTCGTGGCGTGACGCGCACATATCCGAGGCGGGCATGCTCGCGCTCAGTCGCGCGCTAAGCGAGAACGTCGGTCTCCAGGTCGTCGACCTCCGCGACCACTGCGCCAACAAGCACGTCGTCGCGTCGTGGGTGCAAATGCTGCAGAAGAACGCAACGCTCACGAAACTCAATGGTCTGACGCCGACGGTCTTTCTGTCGCGCTACCACATTTAAGCACCGAGTCCAGTCAAGAGCACACACGAGTACGTCAAGACAAGGAAATAAAATGTTGGTATAATACCTTGCGTCAAGAGAACATGACCTGACCGACTCGGGGGTGAAGATTTAGAATTCGCCCCGGGGCCGACAATATATGAGGGTGTCGGCAGCCCTACCCAACCAATGGATTAGCATAGTCCGGTACCGAACGCGAACCAACCCGCTGGTTTGAATTGTTTTCAAACAAGTTGTGGCAGTAGATGCCTCATACAGTGGTTGAGCACTCGATATTTGTATCTGCACAGCTCTACAACCACTAGGTCGATGTGTTTGTATCAATCTATCAGTAAAATAGTCCTACCGAGAAACCGTTATGATGGGACTGTACAGGAGCCTGTGGCCAGGGCTCCAGCAGTCAGTTAGCCTATGTAGTTCCCTATTTGCCTCTTAGTACACACGCCGGTGTTTGGGAGTACGGCCTCCCTTTGTCTGGCCTTTGGAGGCGAAAACGGTAACACAAGTACCACATAATAATAAACTGGCAAGGGTAATAGCGTTGTCGTTCGGAACATCCTAATTTGAAATCAGGACATTCATCCTTTTGTCGTTATTTTCGGAAAATGCCTCAATCAACATTTGCCCGAGCCAAGATCAAGCAATTGCACGATGGCGGACCCGAAGCCACGCCTGAATCCGATGGAGCTCAAGGTACGCGTCTGGCTGCAGGGCGCGCCACGTAAATGAAGAGCCTTGTAGCGGCAACGCTTGGCCAAGCGGCTGAAGGCGGAGCCAGCGGCCAAGCCGCTACCGCCATCGCCTACGCCCGAGACGCCGCTGCCAGCCGCGACATTCAATGAGTCGCCAGCCATGGACGTCGAGGCGCGCATGAAGTCGATCTACGCCAAGACGCGCATCGAGCCAAGCGCTCTTCGCAACACGTTGGGCGTGCAATACCCTACGACGCTCGAGGTACGAGTCCCATAATGGCGCTGATTCCTGGACGACCG